CCTCTTCATATGTGTCGCTATCATCTACGTAAGACATCCTACAAATAAATATATTATGGCGAAAAACACATTTACAAATGTTAACAAACAAATTGTCACATAATAGTCATGCAGTAATAAAAAATCTCAATCACAGTAGTTTGGAAACAATGTTCAAATATAGTAGAGTTCAAGACAAATAAACAGAGAAGTCCAACAACAAATGAAGACGATAGAAGAAACCAATCCACATGTACATTCACTGTGGACCGGGGCCTTCATTAATCCACATATTAATAATATGTTGACGCCTCTCGTCACTAGTAATCGCGGCAAACATGGCTCGATTCGTGGGATCCCGAAGCTTAGTGCAAACAAACTGGAAAAGATCTTCGTCCATATTCGGCATTGCTTGAAGGTCGCGCATTGCCTGTTCCATTGTCGTTAGCTTCGCGGGTTTGTTGTTTCTTTCTTTCAGCGACACATTCAAGTCAGACCACGAGTACATGGCGGTGTCGAAACTAGACTCTGTGCTTCTCCTTCGACGAACGGACCGATTCTGCCCACCATGCCGTCGATGAGATGTCGGGGTGTCCATTGGATCCTCCTCTTGCTGCGTACAAACATCGGGGCTGAAATTTCCAGATGGCTCACCACGTCCCTCGGGCACACGTTGAGTCGATGCCCTTGCTTTCGAGCCCGTAGCAGTCGTCCCATGGAAAATAGTCGTCAACGCTTCGTAGTGCACGCATACCTTACCCTCCATGTCATGATAACTCGGATTTGCCTGTGGACGACATGAAAGAATGAGAAATGGAGTGTACAGGCCACCCAAGCACCAAGCAGTACAAGACATATGGAATGACAGTCATTACTACAACAGAATCCACACTACAATGTGATATGAAATATTTCATATTTATATATAAAAAATATAACAAAATAAAAAAGAAGAGGTGTATAGGCCAATGTAGTATCTAAAAGACAATTGAAGCAAAGAACACTTTCAGAGACAAGAAGGAACATAACAACAGGTGTAATTGCCACACATATTTACATCACCATTGAATCAACCAACAAATAACAATTGTCAGACAAATTTAAATTGAACATAGAAAACAATTGTAACAAAACATAATAATAAAAAATACTTACGGT